CAAAACGGGGCGGCCCCGGGGCATCCGAGTGGGAAACCAACCTAGTGTGTTGCAGCAACCTAACCTAGCTTACAACACGAATGTCACCTGTACTCTGAACAGTAATAACATCATGAGAGTACTGGAGAACAAGCAGAGAATCTCTCTGGCAAGACTCCGGGTCAAAGTGTCGGTGACCCAATAGGCAACATGACGGAGGTAAAAGTGGCGACTGTCGCCCGGAGACAAGGGCACAGCAACCAACGATCCCGTACAAGACGGGTTGGGACCCGGAAGACACATACAATGGTCCACCGAGCCCCGACAGGGGTTTCCAGGGCCCGTAGGGGTAACAACAACGGGAAGCCCGGGCAAGGTGTTGCTAACTGGTTAAACACCCAAAATTAACAAGGGGTAGAGTATAACACTGAAAACCCCTGCGACGTGTACAATCACGGGGGCCTAGCAGAGGGCCACCAAACACTACCAGTGGAACTCTAGCCACACTAGGCAGACCCCCACCAGTCAATGAATATAAAAACAAAAGAAAAACCCCGCAAAAGTACACCGTCTCCAGAGGCAACAGGAACCGGTCGCCGCTTAGCTGGCAGGTGGCAGGTCGCACAACACCTTGACGCCCTAACCAGCACAATACCAGTCCCTACCCAGGGCCAAACAAGGGCCCCAAGGGCGAGGCAAATGCCGAGCAGCAAGAACCTCTATGGGAATGGTTCCCGAACGCCCCAGGGAAGATAACCCTGTTACGCAAGGGCAGTACTCACAGGGCACTTAGGGAAGTCAGCCACTAAGCGCATGCAGCCAGCGCACAACACAACACACGGCAGTGAATGCCACAAGGCAAACAGCGCCTAGGAAACTGAGGCCAGAGAAGTGTCTATCCCGGTTGTCATTAGCTTATGAACTGGTGCTAGGCCGGGGCTCCCCCCTCCCCCTCTCAGGGCGGGGAGGGCTGCGTGGATGATCAGCGTGGCAGTAAAGTGTGATGTTTGCTTCTTTGCTTGTCTCCTTGGGATTGTAGGGAGTTTCTACCTCTCTGTTCGGTTTTTTGTTTTAGTTTTTGCCATGTGGGGTTTGTTTTGTTATGCCTACCTTTCTGGGTGCAAACCCCGGTCGATGGCAGATAAGGAAAACCCCAACCACAAGGGGGTTTTCCATCGCTCCCTGAAACCTCTCTGAAGGGGCCAGGTTCTGGCACTGGTCCCTGGTAGGTCTGAACTCCTTAGCTAATGTCCTGGTCAAATATAACATACATTAGCCCGATAAGCTCCAGGGAGCCGTAGGGGCTCCCTACAGAAAGAGGCGTTGACAAAGCAGGTGCCAGATGAGGTCTGCACCACCCCAGCTGTCAGGCAGGAGTTGTCACGAAGTTATTATTACCTAATTATTTCAATGTCTCTGAATTTTTCTTATTTTTTTGCAGTAATATTATTCAATAATGTGTAGTGTGATATATTTATATAATAAAATGTGTGAATCATCGTTGTACTCAAAATTATGGTGTGCATATTAGTGATTCAATTATTATGTTCATAAAACAATAAACAAATAGTTTTGATTTTATTACACTATATACACAGGTTATATATAAGTATCTGCATGTTTTGTTCACCATAACAAACCACTAAGTTGGTATTGTGAGTCAAAAAGCAACGAAGAGTGGCCGACACACCAGCCAGCCAGCCACTGGCCGACACTTCCTTCCTCACCTTCTCACTCACCAACATTCTCCTCCCACCATACTGTTTTTGCTTTTATTCACTACATACAGATGTCATATATATGTATCTACATGTTTTGTTCACCATAACTGGACATCTAAGGTTGTATGGTGAGTTCAGGCAATAAGAGTAGCAGCTACACACACACACACACAGTCAGCTGGTGGCTGCCTCCTTCACTGGTTCAAGGCCAGATGCACTAATATTTCTCCTCCAACAATACTTTTTGTGGTGTTATTACACTATATACACACACATTATATATTAGTATCTACATGTTTTATTCACCATAACTGTATAAATCAGCTGGTATGGTGCCAAAAGACCATAGTGGCCTCTAGTACACAACATGACATGTCATGCAGATGACGCCACCTTCCTCTTCCTTGGCTGCTCCCAACATACTCCTTTTGCTGCTATTACACTATATACACACACACATTATATATAAGTACCTGTATTCACATTTGTGTTCACCACAGCGAACCACTAAGCTGGTATAGTGAGTCCAGACAGTAAAAGGTGGTCACAAGAGTCAGCAGACAATGTTACCTCCCTCCCCACCAAGATTACTCCTCACACTACAGCGCTAATTATCATCACAATCCTGCTATTATCAGAATCCTGGTCATCTTTATCACAGTCAGGGGTCTTCTGTAATACTATCATCGCTAAATAATAGCATGTACATATTTATTTTGACATTTTTAGGCGATACTGTGGTCACAAGCTGAACAGCAGTGCTGTGAGCTCATGCTGTGCATGCCAGCCTTGCTGGCTCGCTCAGAACTGAGGCTCTCACACCCGGATATGTTACCCATGATTTTTTTTCTAGGATTCTGTTTACTATCAGTTGTAGCTGGACTATAGCTGCCCCTATCCCTCATTGTGTATTTAAAATCGTGCACTAGATTCTCAATCGTATATGTATGCATTGTGCGGTTTTGGGAAAGTTACTCCCATCGTATATGTATGTATTGCGTGGTTTAACCGTCAAACCGCTAGGGGTCCAAATGGCTTTAACACCCACAGGCGCAACAAAAAAAAAATTCCAAATTTTTTTTTTGTCTTTTAAAAGTGTTCATTTTTGTTCACTGATCATGGAGGAAATAACAAAAAAATCGTAGGTGGAATATTTTAGCCGCAATAGGGTAGGGAAGTCTGGCAAAAAAGGGGTGTTGACAGAGCCTCCGCCAGACGAGGTCTACTCTGCTCAAGCTGTCAGGCGGCAGTTGCCACAAATATATTATTACCTAATTATTTCAATGTTGCTGATTGATATTTCTTAGTTTTTTTGCAGTAATATTATTCAATACAGTGTACTGTGATATATTTATATAATAAAATGTGTGAACCATTGCTGTACTCAAAATTATGGTGTTCATATTAGTGATTCAATTATGATGTTCATAAAATAATAAACAAATAGTTTTGCTGTTATTACACTATATACAGAGGTTATATATAAGTATCTGCATGTTTTGCTCACCTAACGAACCACTAAGTTGGTATTGTAAGTCAAAATGCAACGAGGAGTGACCACCACACACCAGCCAGCTACTCATTGCCACTCCCTCCCTCAACACCTCGCTCACCCTCATTCTCCTTCCACAATACTGTTTTTGCATTTATTCACTATACACAGATGTTATATGTAAGTATTTACATGTTTTGTTCACCATAACTGTACATCTAAGCTTGTATGGTGAGTAAAGGTACATAGACGTAGCTGCTCACACAGTCAGCTGGTGGCAGCCACCCTCAAGGCCAGACGCACTAATATTTCTCCCTCTAACAATACTGTTTGTGGTGTTATTACCCTATATACACATATTATATATAAGTATCTACCTGTTTTATTCACCATACCTGTACAAATAAGCTGGTATGGTGGCCAAAGACCATAGTGGCCACCAGTAAACAACATGGTAAGTCGTGCAGATGACGCACCTTCCTCACCAAAATGGCAGCTCCCAACCTACTCCTATTGCTGTTATTACGCTTTATACACACGTTATATATAAGTATCTACATTTGTGTTCACCATTACAAACCACTAAGCTGGTATAGTGAGTGCAGTCAATAAAAGGTGGCTACACACAGTCAGAAGACGACGCTAACATCCTCCCTCCCACAGCATTACTCCTCCCTCCATGGAGCACAGTCCTAAATATCACCACAATCCTGCTATTATCAGAATCCTGGTCAGTTTTATCACAGTCAGGGGTCTTCTGTAATACTATCATCGCTAAATAATAGCATGAACATATATATTATGGCATTTTAGGCGATGCTGTGGTCACAAGCTGAACAGTGGTGCTGTGAGCTCGTGCTGCGTGCATCAGCCTTGGTGGCTTGCTCAATACTGAAGCTCTCACACCCAAGAATGTTGGCCTGGATTTTTTTTCTAGGTGGCATCTGGCAACTATTGGTCGTGGCTGTACTATAGCTGCCCCTATCCCAGGCGGGGCGTTTAAATTATAGCGCTAGACACAAAATCATATATATATGACATGCACGGTTTCGGTTTTGTCACTGAAAGCATATACTGTATATATATATGATTTGTGCGGTTTAAGGGATAAGGGTTAAGTAGCTTTTGGGAGCTACTTAACTTTTGGGAGAAAATTAGTGTTGAATATCCAGTAATGAAACTCTGTTTTCTGATTGAGACCCGGAGGCTCCCCAGCACTCCTCTCTCCCTCCCTCTGGTCGGTGTTTTTTTTGCATTTTTGATATTCAGCCTCTGAACTGAGGTTGGGTAGCCGGTGCATGATGTCTGGCTCCCCCCCTTTCTCCTCCCAGGGGAGGGGGAAGTTGCAGACAGCGGCCCGGCGGCTGTGATGACGTCATGCTTGTTTGCTTGTTTACGATTGGGGCGTTCTGCTTGCTAGTTCGGCGGTCGGTTTGCAATTTTTAACCAGCTGTAGTTTGTTTTGGAATGCCTACCTTTCTGGGTGCCTTACCTAATAGATGGCAGATGTAGACTGGTTCCAATTACATGGGGGTGTCTATAGGCCACTGCTCCTCATGCCTCTCTTGAGGCGGGCCAGGCGTTCTCTCTCTGGCGCTGGTCCCCGTTAGGCTTAGAATGCCCTTGATTGACTGTTGCCACAGTCTAATATTTACACATCAGTCCAATATAGCTCTGGGAAGCCTCTGGGTCTCACCCAGAAAATGGTGTTTCATTACATTCAACATTGGTTTTTTATAGCAGTATAATTTCACTTTAAACTAAATTTAGGTACAGTATTACATTAAGCTCTTTCATTCAAATTTCAGTGGCTACGAGAAGAGGTTGGGAAAGAGGAAGGAATGCCAAGTGATGTTCTTTCTCAACTATTTCAACTAATCGACCCCATTTATGAGTTCCATACACAGTTTCTTAAAGAGCTTGATAGCCGACTTGCACAATGGTAAGTATTAGAGCTTCTTTGTTTAGTAAGAATCACCTCAAGATCTCTTCCTTTGTTCAACTTTTTATTGCCTTTTCATGTAATTTGAAGGATGTATGTGACATTCAGGAAGCCCCTTGTGGTTTTCTGAAGCTATATACTGAGATGGTTCTCATCAATCACAACACATCAGTCATGGAATTCTATAAACCTACCAGGGACAAGTGCCAGAACCTGACCCCCTCATAGCCAGGGGGTGACTCCCTATCCATAGGACCTGGGAACCTGACTCCCATCCATAGTCAACGCATCCTCCGAATTGACAGTACGGTTTAATACGAAATGTATTAAGTACAATTCGTGACTGCTAGGAATATTACATAATTACACTTACTTGTGCCATTACATTTACCTCCCCATATTCGGAGGATGGGCTGCCCATACTACAACCGAGCCCACAGGGAGTGGTGATGTTTCACCACCTCACTGGGAAAGGCAAACAAAAAGTCAGTGAATCAAAACAAACCACTACTAGATTAAAAAAAAAAAAAAAAAAAAAAAAAAAAAGAGACCAAAGCCTCAAAACCAATCTGATGAACTGCTCCAACTATGTAAACAAAAGGGGCCTGACAGCGCTTCGGATTCGTAGTCCTGAGGTTCCGGGTTCAATCCCCGGTGAAGGCGGAAACAAATGGGCAGAGTTTCTTTCACCCTGATGCCCCTGTTACCTAGCAGTAAATAGGTACCTGGGAGTTAGAAAGCTACTACGGGCTGCTTCCTGGGAATGTGTAACAAAAAGGAGGTCAAAGACCAAGGCCATGGGGATGCTAAGCCCAGAAATCATCTCAAGATAACCTCAAGAAGATATCAGATTCTCTCAAAATTAATGAGAGATCATCGTGTGACAGGTTAGTGTATCCCTACTGTTAAACTGTTTCATTGTGGCATCAGTACTGCTCAGTACTTGAGGAGCAGCAGGTCCGGATAAATGATTCTGTTCTTGGTCGATCGGCCAGTGGAGCGAGGCTACATCCATGGGATTATACCCGAAAGCCTCCAAGGCAGAATCCCGCTGGAGAAGCAATGATATCGTGT